CATGGGAGCTGGCTGGTCATGGATGATGGCTGGTCATGGAGGATGGCTGGTCATGGAAGCCGGCTGGTCATGGAAGCCGGCTGGTCATGGAGGATGGCTGGCCATGGAAGCTGGCTGGTCGTGGAAGCTGGCTGGTCATGGAGGATGGCTGGCCATGGGAGCCGGCTGGTCATGGAAGATGGCTTGTTCTAGGGCACTAGCAGCGTCGCTCATTCTGAGGAGGCAGCAGGAGCTATGGGAGCTGGGGGATTCTCTGAGGTGGGGACAGAAGTAGGCTGCTGCTCGCTGGGTGCCCCCCACACGTCACCCTGGGGTTCTGCGCTGTTCTGCAGGAGGCACTCTGGTGAGGAGGGCGTCAGGGCCTGCTGCCCTTTGGCCACACTGGGAGTGAGGTGGGCTTGCCCCGTCGGCTCCTCTTCATTGCTGCCATGGGACGGCGGAAGGTGGGCTGGGCGCTGCGCACCTTCTCCAGGCGGGGGGGAGCAAAGCTGTGAACTCCTGGAGGGGACAAAACCCCTCCACTGAGAAGACCAGCTTGTGCCCCACATGTGATGGGGAGGGTGAAGCTGGGGGACAGAGTGTCACGCGTCTGGCTGGGGGCTCCTGACTCCCACCCAGAAAGACCGCTGCTCAGTCAGCACCTTTCTTGTGGAGACAGGTGAGGTTTGATGTAGTAGGCCCGGAGAGCGGCTGACTTCAACCCCACCATCTTGCCCAAGGAAGGGAGGTCCTCGAGTGATGTCCACCCTCCCCACATCTTTTTTGTTATAATGTTGACGAGAACAAACAGCCCCAGCAGATGCTGATGAAATGACATTATCAAGGACCAGCGTCTGTCCTACGCTGTTTGCCTAGTTATACCTTCCAAGAATCCGTGAAGGGCATCGGTGAGGACTGTCCCTTCCTGCTTTGTCCCGTTCCATGCAAGGACTGGAGACACAGCTAAATAGGGTCTTCCCTCAAGAGCCCCAGTCTGGGGACACAGTGGGGGCACAGAGACCGTCCGTTTGAAGAGAGGCTGCAGGAGGGCTGTGGCAGGCACTGTCTGCCCACACAAGAGACCGGCGGCAGAAGGGCATGTGCTGTATGGAGAAGGGAGTGGTGGGAACGCGGCTGCCGGGGGCAGGGCTGGCCTGGCGGACGGAGGCTGGGTCCTGCGTCAGCTCTCAGGCAGGAGCTGGCCTTAAAATGGCCCTTGGCTAGAAAAGCTGGGGCAGAAGTCCAGGACCAAAAGTCCAGGACCTCCCTGGTCTTGCCTCACTTTCTGTCAAGTGAGAATGGTCACTGGGGTCCTATGATGGGATGGGGTAATCAAGGCCACCTGCTGCTCGGTGTCCACTATCAGGGAAGGGGCATGACTAGGGATGATGTCTAGTCCACCCTCCACTGGCCGGGGCAGCCAAGAGCCCCCAGAGACGCTTGCAATCTGGCCCAGGCATGTCCAGTCAGGGGGCGGCCTGAACATGTTCTCAGGCCACTCAGTGAGGAGAGATTGGGATCTAGGTTTTGTGGGTTTGGTAGCCAGCCAGAACCATAGCAAATTTCCAGAATGTCTGGCAAGAGTTTCAGCCCAGCAGGAAAACTGGCCTGAGTTGGATCTAAGGTGCTGGGAGGGGTTTAGACTGGCAGTGACCTTGGGCCAGGCCTCTGGAGGCCTGGGGTGGAGGGTCGCTGCTTCTCAGAGAAGGGAGTGGGCCCTCTTGCCTGGTGTCTGAGGGCTGCCATGTGGGAAAGGCCAGATGTGCGTGTGGCTAGAGGGCAGGGATTGGAGGGGCAGTCAGGTCTCTGTGGCATACCGAGGAGGACATTCTCAGAAGCGGTGCTGTCCAGCATGAGCCACGCGTGCTCCAGACACGGGGTGAGTGGGAATTACTGAGACATCCTGGACGTTTGAGAAGGGAGGCTGGAACACGTTTTCCCAGCTGATGCAGATGTGGCCACCCTTCCCTAGCTGGTCCTGGCAGGAACGACTAAGGAGTCTGGACACCTCGGCCAGGGAGAGCTGACACCGAGTGACGGACCCAGGACCATTTTCTGATCACTCGCTCCAAGCAGCTCTGCCCCTGACTCTGCAACCAGAGAGCTGCAGGCTGAGACTCTCCTGCAAGTCACACGTGCCACTTCGTCCTGGAACTGAGGGCTTGACCCTTGGCATTTCTTGGGACGGGCGCTCTGTCGGAAACAGCACCGTGAAATGCTACCCTGGGCTTATCCGAGGGTGCTGTGGAGAACGTTGTCCATCCTTCATACAATGTCAGCTGAAGGGGCGCCTCGAGAAATTCTTTTCTTCTTCTTTTTTTTTTTTAATAATATAATAGTTTATTTTACATCATTTTGTGCCTTTTTCCAGCTCAGTTGTAATCCCCATGGGCTTCCTGTAACGGGTGATGGCACCCATGTGTCATCATATTTTTTGTTTTAATCTTAACATGAGATATGCTTTTCTTGAAGAACTAGGTTTTTTTTTAAGATTTATTTATTTCTGCATACAGAGCTGGGGTACAGGCCAGAGGCTCAGGGGCAGCGAGAGGCTTCCCCAGAGACAGAGTGGGGAGCAGAACAGGCAGATGGACGAAGTACACTGCTGAGGGGAGCAGTGGGCAGTCAGGAGAGGTCTGCCGCACCCTGTGGGTCACCTCCAGGGCAGGTGGGGATCGAACTCATGTGGAAATGGCTTAAACTTCTTAGTGTAGTGCTTTAACCCGCTGCGCCACCAGGGAGGGCCAGTTTTTTTTTTTTTTTAAATCTTAAGAAACTGAATCTGAAAGTAACTAAAATCATTTGAAGGAGGTAATTAATGCAAACTGAGAGTCTGCTGTCAGCCGCAGTAAGATGTGTGTATTTGAAGACAACGGAGGGGACATCTGAGACAGCCGTGTCCCCAGGGCACAGCCTGGGCGAACTTCTCAGCTACTCTCATTCCAGCTCCATTTGGTGCCTCTAACTTGTTCTCCTTTATCTTGTTCTCCTCTACTCTTAGCTGGGTGCTGTTTATGCACCCTGTAGACAGCCTTGTTTTTGGAACAACAGAGGGTGTTATCTACGGTTCTGTCTTAAAATCTGCCCCTTCCTCAATGCTGCACATTTGGTGGCATCTGGGAATATGGGTGGGTGAACGAGTGATCGAGACAAGCGGCCTGGAAAGGGATCTTATTTGTGGACAAGAGGTTTGTGGAACCCCCACCCAGGCATGTGGCTGGCAAAAGTAGGAACAGGGTTAGTGAACGGTGATGCACACGCCACAGAGCACAGTGAGTCCTCCTGTAAGTCGTCACTAGTTCTGGGAAGTCACGATGTTAAGGGAAACAGCAATAAGAGCAGGCTCTCGAGTCACATTTCATTCAAGGTTGTTTTTTTCTCGTCAACATTATAATGAAACATGTTGAGGGAAACGACATATCTCCAGCTATCCATTTTGCTGGCACAAACATACTCTATGCTTTGGTACATATGTACATGCATTCAGGGGCATTACGCAGGTGGGTCTTGCCTCTTGTCACCATGAGTCTGTGTGGTCTGGAGTCGCCCTTCTGTTATCAGCTATGTGAGGTGGGGCAAGTTACTTCACCTCTCTGTACCTGCGTCTCCTCATCTGAAAATAGAGGAAATAGCTGTACCCAGCTCTGTGTGTTGTTGTGAACGTTAAAGAAGTCAATATCAGCCATGCACTTGGAGATGTGTCTGGCACGCAGTATGCGTGGGAGAAGTAGCTGGCATTACTATTGTTGCCATGGTCGTAGTCCTCCCACTATTAGTATTATTACTCCTGCTTTCACTTGGCTTTCTTGTTAGTTAAGTCGGTCATGTGAACGGAGCCAGACTAACTGTTATCGTGCTGGCTCCTTGTTCACATGCTGTCTTCTTGGGGTAAGTCACTCGCTGTCTGAACCTTAATGTACCCATCCGTAACATGAGTGGGTGGGTAGAATCAGTGGTTCTCAACTTTTGGACCTTGACCTACATTAAGAAATATATTTTACAATGTTCAACATCACTTGAAATAAGGGAGATGCAAATTAAAACCACCACACCCCAGTGAGAATGGCACATCTTCAAACAACCAGCAACAACAAATGTTGGCGAGGATGTGGAGAAGCAGGAACCCTCCTGCACTGCTGGCGGGAATGCAAACGAGTACAACCACTGTGGAAAACTGCATGGAGGTTCCTCAAACTGCTAAACATGGAGCTTCGATAGGACCCAGCAATCCCACTCCTAGGTATCTGCCCAAAGGACAGAAAAACACTGATTCAAAAGGATACCTGCACCCCCATGTTTACTGCTGCTTTATTTACAATTGGAAAGACATGGAAACAGTCCAAATGCCCAAAAGTAGATGACTGGATTAAAGATGTGGTACAGATACACAATGGAATATTACTCAGCAACCAAAAAATAAATAAGTAAACACATACCTTTTGCAGCAAAATGGATGGAGCTGGCTTATTGTGAAATAAGCCAGAAA